AAAATTAAAATTCCATTTTGAAACTGCAAGTTACTAAAAATCTGCACATTTGAGCTGTTTGATTTGTGTGTAACATAAACTGGGATGTCAGGGGAGTTACATTCTACCCTAACTCTGGTTTCTTTTCTTTATGTGGAGCAACCCGCACTAACAACTGAACTTAGAACACCTATTCTGGCTTCCAGAGTATAAGAAATTGTGTAAAAGAGTCACTAATATTTAGAAAACTGACCTCCCTTTATTCACACATGTAGATAGATATTCACCCTGAAGGGAGGAAGACAGGGAAGTCAAGAGGTGACATGAAGAGAAGACAGCCAGAATCATCAAATACATTTCTTTTGTTAAACTTCATGACTGAAGATCCCACTGAGGCTTCCTTCTGGATGTGATGTTTTTGTTTGTTTATTTGTTGTATTGTCAGAGAAGTTGGAATGACAAACAAGCCATGACTTAAAAATTCTTATTCTACTGTTTTTACTTTGTCTCCTGTCAATCTCCAAATGGTTAGGATAAAATTTTATCCTCTCTTTTACTTTTTATTCAAACAGTAGGAGAATGGAGTACAAGGTAAGACATGTATGTGACTGGGGGCTTTAACTTTAAGCATATAACCAAATAAATTGCCTGCTCAAAATAATTTATTTGGTTTTCATGAGAATTAATGCAAATATAAAGTTAATTATAATAAAAATTATTAAATAAAATGTACATATTCCAATAAAAGAATTAACATATTAAAACCATGAGGATGAAGACAGTATTTTTGTATTAATGTTATACCCAGAGTTTAATTAGAGGATCACTAATTATTCATATACATGAGTGGTTTACCAAAGGTTTGTTTTTCCTTATTTTATTGGAACATGAAAGCCTTCAGAATAGCAGAAGTAACATATCATTTTTCTTCCCCAATTTAATTATGAAGCAGAGTAAATAGGAAGCAAATAAATCTCAATGTTTTTCCATAAATATTATTCCCCTTCACTCTGCTTCAGTATCTGATATAAGTAATTGACTGGTATATTAAGTAATTGGAATCTCAACTCACATACATTATGTTTCTTTCTACTCAGCTTATTATGTCGTGCTTTAGATCATTTATTCATTCATATTCTGACAAAAATTCTAGACATTCTTTTTTAACATCGCATAGCTTTAATTTAGCAATAATAGCTCTTATTTATTGAGCATATAATATGTCTCAATTATACTGTTTACAATTTGAATATGTAATCACTTAATATTTAAAAATAGTTACCAGGTATGTCCTATCCTCATTTTATGGATAAAACAAGTAAACACAGAGAGATTAAGGTTTTGCAATTTCTCACTCTTAAGAAGTGGTAGAAAAGGATTTTAAGGCATGTGACTGACAAATTCTTAGGCATCAGTCCTTACAGCATGCTCCCTTCTATTTCAGCTATGTCACATTACCACAAACATTTTACAAACCTTATATATAAAAGTCTGACCCTTATTCCTTGGGGATACACTACTGTTCCATTATGAAGAACACATGAATGAAAAGAAAGTAAAAAAAGTCACCTTTGAATCTATTGTAAATGTGATGATATAATTTGTGTATTTGTGTATACATCTTTCTTTTGATCAACAATGATGTTATCTTTTCTATAATTATATACCTCCTCCATTAAAAATTCTTGCCCTTGAAACTGTTCTACATCTTATTATCTGTATGTAATATTTTCTGTAAGTTGTTTCTTGTTTTCTCATGTGACTCATGCTAAATTGATTCTTTTGTTTATCTCTGTCTATCTATCTATCTATCTATCTGTCTACCTATAATTTGAAACTTCACAATGTATCTGAGGGAAAGAATGAGATTTTAACCTGTTGTATCCAACATATAATTATCACCTCCATCTTCATTATTGGTATGAAGCTAAAAGGAATGAGAAAGAGCACAAGTGTAGACATTTTACATTAATAAATTACCTTAAGAAGTATCTGTACCTACTCCTAATCCCCATTGGATAAGGATGAAGACATTTCCTTTTCTTAATCTTTGGACTACAATGGCTATTGCCTTAAAAAAAGAAATGCCATTTTGTTTGTATGAAACAGGTATTTTTCTTTTCATGTTTTAAACATTATTTTCACAGAATACAATTCATAAATGTAATATCTATTTGATTTTTGTCATTATGAATTGCATTTTAACATGTTTCTCATATTACTTGCACCTTGAAATATTTATCTTTGTTCTCATTGTCACTAATGATTGGCTTTGAGCTTCAGACATAATTGAGCTATAAAAAATCAAAAATATCATTTTGAGAGAAGTAGGTTTCAAAACAAAGAACTGAGGTTACTATATGGCCTTTTTATTGGCAGTATTTTATGCAACTTTCCCTTAATCTGTAGTCCTTTCAGTTGAAAGTGGAGGAAGATGAAAGAAAAAGTTACCTGCACTACAAGTTTCAAAGTCAAATAGAGGCTGGCACTGAGATATTTGCTAGCTAACACCTGGCCCAGAATAGACACAGGGCACTAACAAACCTTTTAGCCATCCAGTGTTTGGAAAGTTAAAAATATTGAATATTTTATTCTCAAAGTCACATTGAGTTTCAGATAAATTGAAAACACCACAAAGGTCACAATGTTCTACAACCTTCAGAGATCCACAGTCTAGTCTTTGTTTATTTTGGATACCATCCTGAGAATGTTTTATTGTTCTATATTAAGGATATAGCGTAGAACTTAAAGTGGAGTTCAAGTTACACCACTCATAGAAACAAGGTCTTAACTAAATCAGTGTAAATATTCATTTTGGTTTTATTTTTTTATTGTTATACCGGGGGTACATTGTGATATTTACCAAAGTTCTAACCATATATCTTAGTTGAATCCACCCTTTCATCATTCTCTTTTATCCCTCCTCCCTCCTATCCTGGAATACTTTAAACAGGTCTCATTTTTCCATTTTCATACATTAGTATATAATATTTCTGCCATATTCACCCTCCTACACCCTTTTCTTATACCCCTCCTTCCCCTTGGTGCCAATCCCCAAACAGGACCGGTTTTACCCTTCTGTACTCCATTTTTGAAAAAAAAAATCTATCTTTGGTTAAGATAGCTAGTTTCACTGTGACATTTCCTTATATATATATGTATTATATCCCAAATTAGTTCATCATCTCTATTTTTTTCCTTTCAACCTTAGTCCCTTATGGTGATTTCAACAGTTTTAAAAAGTCTATATTCATATTTGTATAAGAAACACATCAACCATATTCACCTTCTTAGCATCTTTCTTTTACCTTCTCTTTTCCCATTAGTGACTTCCCCTTAGTGTAATCTGGTTTTCATAACATTGCTTATATTTGTATTGGGTCTATAGTCCACATGTGAGAGAAAACAAGTAGCCTAGAAAAGAGGTAGAACATTTAATATCTTAGTTGGGGTACATCCAGATAATCTCATTCTTTAGATTTTTACCACAAGAGTATCAAGGGAGTAGAGGGTTAAATTTATGGGACAGAAGGTAGGCAAAAAGAAAACATTAAAAATACTATAAGGTTAAGTTGCTTTTCACACACAATAAATTTATGGCATCCCAGTAAAAACTGGAGCAGGGCTAAAAATGGAGAAGACCTTTTCAGCTCTGAGAATAAATTCTCTAGGCTAGTAAAATAAATTTGTCCTTTAAAAACTAGTCTGTATTTATATTTATTTATGTTTTGATTCTTTTGTTCTCTTTTTAAATGTTTATTAAGGATTTTTTTTCTCTTTTTTGGCAGTACTGGGATTTGAACCCAGGGCTTTGTATTTGCTAGTCCAGAGCTCTACCACCTGAGCCACTCTACCAGCCCTAATTATTTATTAAATTTCATGTTTATTTGTTTAAAGTTCTCAGCTGATTGTGATGAACCAAAATTAAACTAAAAGTACACATAGGATAAAAATTGATATCCACACTTCAAAGTGAAAGGTTGTGCCCCTGAGGTGCCTGGTTACTGGGAATCAAATATGACTGCTACAAAAAGAGAGTGTTTCACTCTGAGAAATCACAGATTAAGGACTGATAAATCTCATTTCAAGATTATGATTTTAAAATTAAAGAGCAGAAAGCTAATTCCTCCTACAGAGAATGAGACGATTTTTCTTATGCACACAGATATGTGTAAAGACAGTATAAAGAAACTTTTGATAATTACCATAATTTGAATGACATTTTGGTGAAATGTACTTACAATTTTTTAAATCCATTGATACCCAATGGATTTGGTATGTTTTATTCCATTTGCTTGAAGAATCACCAAGAGGAATTTTATTAATTCTCTAATTGAGATTAATCTAGGCTACATTTCTTTTTTTTTTTATTGAAGACACATTCCACATTTTATTTACATGTTAAGACTATCTTGAATCTCAAGACCATATATCATCCATACACCTATTTCCTTTTCGTTGACTTAAATGCATGGTTTATTAAACAAAGACCATAAACAAATATTTATCATGTCTGTTACATATAACACACAGGAACATCTTTTAACAGAAATTCATTGATCCCCCAACATCTTTTTATTATAAATACAGGTATCAAAACAATCCTGAACATACTGTCGATACTACTAGTAGTCAGCGCCCACACTGCTTCAAAAATTAACACAATTTGTGACAATATTTATTGTATCTGCTACTTAACCAATTTTATTGCAGCTCTTTCACTAAGCTGTATAAAGCATGCCATGTCTGTTTTTCCTTCTTGAGATTTTATGTTTCAGAAGCACACGTTTCTCACACTTCTTGCCATGCTTTCATCTTGTAAACCTGAATTCTATTTCTAGTACTCCCAGTTCACGTTTAAATGACAGTGCCTTAATAAGAAAGAAAAATTCTGCTGCCTTTTTCCTCCCATTACCCGAAAACATAATGGGTGTACATATATTAAATATATTCTTACAGATGTCCAGGTCATGTTTACCAGCTGGAATTCTCTTACTTAATGTGTGGATATTTTGCATTGTGATATTTAATCAAGACACTAATATGAGTAGAAGGTTGTTGATTTAAGACAAATTTGAGATCTACTAAAATTAATTGTTGTATGTTTGTCCTTCTGGTGGCTGTGGAAGCTTCATATTTTCTTTTGGACATCATTAGACGTCTTAGCTCTTGAAGTACAACTTTAATGCTATATGAATTTTGCCATTTTGCTAACACTGGTATGCTCCGTGCGTCCACCATTCCACTGGAATTATTTATTCCATTCATATTAATTTTTGTTACAAATCTAACTGATGGAGGAGCTTCTGGATATTTAGGTCCACATTCTACTTTCAGGCTATATATTCTGTTTTCATAATTTGTCCTTGGTGGCCCAATAATCATGCCTGTCCACCTTGTAAGTGTCGTATCTTCATCATCTTCAAGGCCCCAGCTAACCGTACCATCACCTACTCCTTTTTGTCCTTTTCAAGCTCTTCCAACAAGCGAAAATTACGAGGAACTTTAGCTCCAAGATTGCTTTGGACAGTTTCAGTTAGCATGGCCATTTTTACCTCCACAAAGTATTACAAATAAATATTTCATGTTACAGTGTAATGTGTTATCCTGAATAGTGTCCTGTGGAGACCACCATCTTCTCCTGCAGCCTGATGCAGCAGCCCCTAGGCTACATTTCTTATTCATTTTTATGAATTTGGTGTTGAGAGCAACATTGGCCACCTGATTTGGGTCTTGAGAAGCATACCTTGAACTGCACAGAACAGCCCAAGGCGCATCTTATTTATTGATACCAGGATTTAATTGGCAAGATACTTCAAAGGAAGGAATTGGGACATCAGAATGAATCTAGGGATGAATATAAGGTACATAAATACTATAGTGCAAGAGGAGCTGATGGTGAAAAGGCCAGGTCTAGTAAAGACAAATGTCTATGAAAAGTCTGATTTCTCTGAGTCATACAGCAAGAGAAGAATAGAACTGGGAAGACTTTGATTGAATAACTGTCTGTGAAAGAATAAAAATAACAACAAACAATGCAAGTCTAACCCAGAAACAAGAAAAGAAGGAAACAGTGGAAATTTACTAAATTGTCATATAGTATAAGGAAAGTTTGACAAGGTTTTCCAAAAGGCTTCAAACCAATTTTTCCCTTCAAGAGACTCCTATGTTCCCCAGGAATGTTCTGCTTTGTATCCTAGCCATGCTCACTCTTTGGTTAGGAGAAGCCTACTAGAAGCAAACTCTCAATGCTATATATGGTCAAAGGTTTCAAACCACAGCAACTGGGCTCCTAGGTTCATTATGGTTGAAGTTGGAAGTCTGTCAGGTACATTCTTAATGGCCTCCTATAAAAGGAGGAGAGGACAAACTAAATGTTTTCAATAAATATTTACCAAATAGTAAGGATTTCATGTAAATAATTATTTTTAATGCATAAAGTAGCCATTTAAGATAACAATATATCACAATTTTCAAGATGACAAATCATAGGAATGGGAAAAGAAAATAATTGGTTCAAAACCATATGCCAGTTAGTTAAATTTCAAGCCTACATTGAACTTCTCAAATTGAGTGGCTGAATGATGAGAAAATAGTTAAAGAGAGACAGAGAGAGACAGAGAGAGAGAGAGAAGATTTCTGAAGATTTGTTTAAAAACTCTAGTTTTATTTTTTCAACTATATTCTATGAAGCTTTCTAGGAATTTTTTTTTCTTTTTGAGAAAAGAGGTTCTATTCTCTCACTCTCACTCTCCAATCTTTAATTTGCATTAAATGTAAAATATTTGTGAGTTTTTAAAACCATGAGACCATCCCTGAAATCTTAAAAGAATTAAAATATTCTTTTAATATAATTGCTGGATGGTGGTTCTGGCAGTTTTCTAAGATTTTCTATTAGGAATAATTTTTAACAATTTAAAAAGTATTTTAAAAACTTAGGAGTTTGAAAACCTCCTAAAGTATTAGTTTACCCAGCAAATCTACATAGAACTTTTATGAAAAGAATGACAATGCAACAAAAATTATGTTCAAAATACTTTTTTAAGCACAGCAATTTGTACTAATTTATAGAATGAATAGACAACTTTTGAACAGATTATAATAAGCAATCATTGGGAATTTTGCATATTCTTCTGCTAAAAGCAATACCTATTTAAAAACAATCTCTTTCCAGACCTTTAACTAGACTCGAATGTTTAACTGAGTTATGAATAATTATAGGTAAGTAAAATTGTATTGCATGTAACCTTTTAGAAATAGTTTAGAATTGTATAAACTAGATAAGAGAATACTTATGTGAGCAATTAAAATGAATTACAAGGCAGTGGAGGAATGACTTACGTTTAGTACAGTCAAAGCCAGGAAGGAAGAAACTGTGTAGAGTACAATGGATGTGTGCTCTCCAACAGTGAATCACTTGCATTTGAATGCTGAATCATAGCCACATGCTCTTGGGCAATGTACTTTAGTCTTCTATGCAGAGTTTAATGAACTGTAAAAGAAAAACAAAAGACTTCTTAAGATTTCTGAGATGATAGGTGAGTATTTAGAAAGATATCTAGAACATAGAGTCAATCAATGCATATTATTCTTAGAACTATTTTTGTGTATTTTAGGAAGCAATGCAGTTTTAACAAAAAAGGAAAAAGAACTCATGTTGAATTTTAAATAGCAATAGGATCAGCTAGTCAAATATTTTTGAAAGGCTACAAAAGCAATGCTTTGCTACAAATTTCTTTGGAAAAAAGTTTTTTTAAAGAAGGTTAATAACATTGACAAAGTATTTAATTTTTATCCTAAATTTAGTACTCAATATCTGTCTAACTTTGGCATGTCATAGTTCTATGAATTCCACTATGCATTTCACATCAAGACATTTTCATTCTTTTTCCTGGCTCTCAAGTAGACTTATTTTAAAAAAGCAAAATAAAGCTCTTCCCATTGTTCAAAACCAGTATTGTTATTTTATTTTTATTCAGTTCTGTGCTAAATCATCCATGCTATCACTCAATGTATTAAGTAAAGACAAATGCTAACTGCTGTCAGATATATGGCACATTATCAATGTTATTCAGCAAAGTACCACTCAGAGATGCACCTTTATAGCCAAAAACAATTAGGTTTATCATTATCTTCAATTGAGAGGACTACACACTATGAAAAACTTGGATCACCTTAGTAAAGGAATGTTAAGGAAAGGTTGTTATAGGATTTGATATTGTGATAGGTGATGGGGGAGGACTTAAAGATGCAATTTTTACTTTAGATCAAACGTTGTCAGTACTCAGGAGCATTCCTTGACTGGGTATTTTAACCATATCCTAACACTATATATATATTTATATGTGTGTGTCTGTGTGTCTGTGTGCACGTAAGGATTCACTAGGTGGAATCCCACAATACGCAGTCTTCAATCTGAGAATAAGTAAAGTTAGCTCAGGCCAAAACTCAATTCCAGGGAAACTGCTGATGTAAGCCACAGCATCCAAAGGTTGAAAAAGCTGTAATTTTGATGTAGAAAGAGAAGAGAAGAAGGTTGTCCCAGATAGAGAGAGCAAATTCATCTTTGCTTTCCCATTTTGTTCTATCAAGTCCCTGGGTGACTGGCTATTGTCCACAGTGAATGTGTAGTGTTCTAGCTCAACTCACCAATTCACTGACCAATGTCTTCCAAAAATGTTTTCATAGTCACATCCAAAAACAATGCCTGAGCAGTTATCTTGGATCCCCTTAATCTGGTTAAATTAACAACTAAAATTAACCATGACACATAAGATTATAGAGCAGGCTTGCACTTTTTCTAATTTCATCATGGACATGTTGGTGTCTTTGATGATTCTGGAGAATTGTTTATGGTCAAAGGGAGTACACAGTCTAGCTGTGAAAGGTAGGAAAACTGATAATAAAACAAAAGCCTTGATATTAGCACAAATTTCCCTGGTATCAGGGAAAGATTTTGTATTTCTTAAATCCAAACAGAAGGTCTTAACAGCATGTATCTAAGTGATCTACATACCTGGGATTTATCAGCTTAAAAGTATCAAGCGTGTGCTATTTCAAAGTTTCTGTGTGTTTGATATTTGGAAGTGGTATAGGTAGGTGCTTATGACTCAAACTCTCATGATTTTGTAAGAAAGTTGGGTGTCAATGTTGTAACCAGTGGAAGACTTCTTTGGGGTTAGAAGTATGTACTTCAAAAATGACTGACATGGCTGGTGACGAAACATCTCAGGTTCTCACCTTGTGGGTCCATCAACAGGTTTGCTTAAGTGTCCTCAAAATAAATCTTCCCAAGAGAAAGGGATCCCATAATAAAGATGCAACAACTTTACTGATCTATCTTTAGAAATGACACTGCCTGTTCCTATTGGTTAACCAGTCAGCCCCATACATTGCAAGAGCGTCATGTAAAATATGTGTATACCAAGATGTAAGGATCTTCATGGCTATCTTCAAACTATTTACTACATGTGTTCAAAAAATATGTAATTCAAGAGAGCATATGATTTGTGTCATACAGCAATAGATAGTTTAAAAAGCAGTTATAAAGTGGCATTAAACAAAGTATAGAATCATTTGAATAAGCCATAGAAAATGAGTCTAGACAAAATAACAGGAAACCTCTGTGTTTAAGCAGCCAGAGGATTCAGTCTGTACAGGATTCGTTTGGTATAACCTAGAAAATGTCTAAGTTTAAAAATGAAGAGTGACAGACAATAAAGAGGACCAACTAAAGATACTGCATTTACTGCTGACTTTATAGTGTCAGTAATGAGGAAACCAAAACAACTTCACATGAGAAATAAAAGATTCATAAAGAACTTATCCTAATGACTTAAAGACATACAACATCTACTGATGGCATTAACTGTTCTGCTACCTGTGCCTAAGTCTTGTATGAAAACTATGAACACAAAACATTAATTACTGGAAAAGGAATTGAGACATTCCATTAGAAATATGTTTTTGCCTTCTACTTGAAGAGAATTGATGATGTTGTATGAAGGTACATTTTAGCTGCTCAGAATCAAAGAAACATTTTTATTTATTTAATTTTGATGGGCCTGGGGTTTTGACATAGGATTTCATGCCGGCATCCTCCCAAGAAGCTAGGATTGCAGGTGTGAATCACGAAGGCCTGGCTAAAGAAATATTTTTATTAAAGAATATAGTTGAACAGAAAGCTTATCTCAAAATCATAAATCTTGTTCAAAAATGTGGAAACTTATATTTATTTTACTAGTAAATACATTAATACCATGGAACATGAGCAAGAGAAGAGGGAAGAAAACAACATCAAAGACCAAATTATTTTCATTAATTCCTGAGCACTGACAGATTATTTTAAATACAATGTTATTTAAATATGTAAAATAAAAACATTAAGTGTAAATTCAGACCTTGTATAAAATGAACAAAATGAAGCATTCATCCTGCAACACAAAAAGAACTCAGAGAGTAACTAACAATCTAAAAGCATACG